GTTGGAGTGACATTTCGCGAGTGACATTCTAACTTCTCCGTCGCAAGGTCATTGACCTGCCAGTCACTGTGTGTCAGTGTACTCGATGTTATCGCCGTCGCCCTGTATCACGAACATGAACATGAATAGTTGATGTCTGACATGACGTCAAATCTTACATGCATTGAAAACCGGTTTGGGTTAAAATTGGTCTAAAATGAGGAATTTGATTTTTTTTCTTTTAGTCGATACAACCTCAGTTAACAAATTTTCCGGGAGGTGACCCCCTTTCCGATCGAAGCGCGTAACCCTAGTCGTCGGTGGAGGGCGCTGCTCGCACCTCCAAAAAGAGCAAGCTGTTAATGGTTGTTTACATTACACGCGTGCGAAAGACCGTATCTATTGATATTTTTGTCTATTGTTGTATCAGAGACCTCTTTCTATGGTTGTATCAAGTTTGCGTGACCAAATATCAGTAAATATTGTTAATGGAAATCGACTACTCAATTTCACTTTTTGAAGCAATATTTGATGACTTTAAATGAACTATCAATATTTGTATATACATGTAGAAAGCGTTCTAAACTTCCCTTATGCGTATACCTAACTACAACAGAAAGCGATATATATATATATATATATATATATATATATATATATATATATATATATATATATATATATATGAATATGAATTTTATTCAATACAATGGCCTCAGGCCTATGGTACAATAAATCAAAAAAAAAATAGAAAAATACATACAGAGGGATTCCTTTAAATAATTGTTGAATCTACTAGTCACAACTGGTTAAATAGATTGACTCTGTGTTTAGAAGCGTAGAATACAAATTTTGAAATTTGATAAGTTGTCAAACTGCATTAAACTAAGAAATTTTTCGTAAGTCTGATTTGACAGATAAAATATAGGTAAATATTTTTGCTAAGATTTACATAACGTGGACATACAAGACAAAAATGGTATTTATCCTCAACCAACCCTAAATTACATAATTTACAGATTCTCATATTCCTCCGTATGTTTATTTTACGATCAGATTTAACCCGAAGGTTGTGGGATGATGTTCTAAGCTGACATAGCGCAGAACGGAACTTGTTGTCTTTTATTAAATGCAAATATCAAAGAAAGCTGAAACAGAACTCCCGTGTCCCGAGGGTATTGGGGGCATGAATTACAAATAAGTATTTTCTCTATCGCATTTGTTGCATTTACCGATCTGCAACAGTACTTATCATATTACAGTTACGCAGAATATTAAGGTCACATGACCATATATGGTCATCTGATACTTAGTATATTAGTTACATCTCTTGTCAAATTCCACCACCATAGTACTAGTTGCAAGTCCTTATCTGCAACAGTGCTTGAGATATTACAGTTATGAATAATATTTGTAAGGTCACAAGAATCCATTTAAGTAGGTAATTAATATCCATGTATATTTGAACTCTGGAATAATCAGATATGAGGATTAATCTGAATGCACATATGTACCACGTGGTTGATTAAAACAGATTGCAACAAGAAATTAATT